ATGTCACTTTATCGGCCAGTAACCTCTTGAACGTTATCTCGTCCATTACATTTACCGTGGCCTCTGTATCCACCAGCACTTGAAATTCACCATTTTCCACTGTCACACTGCTCACTAGCCTGCGGTCCTGATTGTGTTTGACCGCCCCAACTTTCTCAATACCGCAAAGGGACTCCTTTTCGACTGCTTTCAGCACACCCTTGTTTTCTTTTCCTTTCATCCTACAACATTTGGCGAAATGATTCATTTTGTTACACGTCAAGCATTTCTTCCCCCGGGCTGGACATTTCATCCTTCCTCCAGCGTGCGGAAAAGTTCCACCACAAGAAAAAGCTCACCTTTCCAGCAGTTTTGTTTTGTGCCCGTTGTCCGAGCCTATATAACTTCTCCTCTGGATTGGTGTCAGTTCCATGGCTTTGTCGGTCTATTTCAATTCTTTCCGCTTGCTTATCCGACATTTCCTGGGCTCTTGCGAAATCCAGGGCTTCCGGTAGGGTATGAGGTTTGCTAAGCAACCGTCGTCTGACCCGCCTCGATTTTCCTTTCTCTATAAACTGCAGTTGAATTTCAACATCACGCCAATCTGTCGGAAAATCGCATGGACCCGCTGCTAGTTTCAGGCGAGTAGCGAAGTCATCGTATGACTCCTCTTTCTCTTGAGTAAGCTACCGAAACTGGTATATGTTGAATAGGTAATGTTTTCTGGGTTCAAAATATTCCATGAGTTTCTCTGCGGCGGTTTCGAAATCCTCACCGGTGTCTTATTGGGTGTCAAAAATATCTTGTACTTTTTGTCCTGCACAATGTAAAAATAAAGCTCTTTTCCTTGCTTTATCCTTTATGTTCATTGCCAACGCGTAAACTTTAAATCTTTCCACGTATTTTCTAAAGCGCGAACCCACCGAAGTTGGATCCATGTCGGGGTCGAATGTTCCGTAATTCAGGTTTGTATCGAAACCAGCCATTTTCCTAGAAATAAAGGAACTCCTCGTCGCCAATGTGAAGTCGCGAATCAGCTCAAATAAACGGTTACATCATACGTCCTTAGTTCCGTTAATAGTCCCCAAATCAAGCCCCTTTTGGCTTCGAATGTTCACGCTCATTCCGCATCTAATTACCGTAGATCAAGTCCCTTGAGACCCGACACTACACTTATCAAATCATTTTTACCCAGGTTTTTATTTTTTTTTTTTTGGCGCAAATTAGTGTGTAATTGTTACCATAAATTTTAGTCGATGCTGCGGCTGGTTACGGTTTGCCGCCCAGCCAAAGCTTTTATTTTTTACTCTGGGAATCCAGACGTTTGTACAGCCATAATAATAATAATAACTAGAAAACGTATTTCGCAATTACCCCCGCGAAACTCGGTTTAGTTGCGACAATCAAATTAAGTGCTGTCGGAATTGGATGGGTGACCCACCGCGTATATGGTCGCGAAGGTCCATACTTTGTTCTTTCCAGTTTCTTCTTCTTCTTCTTTTTCATATTGTGTGGTGTCATTTTTAAACAATGTTTAAAAGTGTATTGAAAAGCATATTTAGCATTATTTCGGCCGCCGGATTTACAAAAAAAAAAACACAAACACGACAGTGCAGTTCGCATAAAAATTATTATACTTCGGGCCGTAGTACAGAGTAGCCTGCGTGGGCGTTTGAAAGGGAAGGGAAAGGGAATTTTAGGCGCGAGAGAAACGCCAGAGGCGCGCGAGGAGGGAGGGAAAGAAACGCCTGCCGGGAGACCATTGTATTTCTCAAGAAAAACGAGCTCGTTTTTAACATCCACCAGGCGAATGTTAAAATCCTGATTGGTTATTTATCAAAACATGTCAATCACGGCCTCAATACCTTAATCCGATTGACTGAAATCAACATCACGCTACTGAGTAACTTAATCAATCTTTCAGTTATCATTTAAAAATATATTGTTAGTGACGGCATCAATTTCAGCTTGAAAGGAGAATAGAAGAAGACAGTTAAAAGAACCGTATGAAAGAAAAGACCTGTCAACTAGATGGGTTTTACTGACTGGTTTTGAGAAGTCTCATCCCAAAACAGCTTGTTTTACTCACTTCAAGAAAGAAAGGAAATATCCTGCTGCCTGTGTGCTTGTTATCTGCTGTTTGACCTCAACGCCTACCACGCTGCCAGGCTACGCTTTATCAACGACC